TCTTCCTTCCTTCCCTCCCTCCCTTTTCTTCCTTCCTTCCCTTCCTCCCTTCTTTCCTTCCTTCCTTCATCCATTCCCTCACTCCCTTTTCTTCTTTCCTTCCTTCATTCCTTCATCCATTTCCTTCCTTCCTCCATCCATTCCCTCCCTCCCTTTCTTCCTTCCTCCATCCCCTCCCTTCCTTCCTTTCTTTTCTTCCCTCCCTTCCCTTTCTTCCGTTTCCTTCCTTCCCTCCCTCCCTCCCTTCCTTCCTTTCGCTCTCCCTTCTTCCCCCCCCGTTCTTTCCTTCCTTCCTTCATCCATTTCCTCCCTCCCTTTTTCTTCCTTCCTTCCTCCATCCCCTCCTTCCTTCCCTGCCCTTCCTTCATTCCTTCCTCCTTCCATTTTCCTTCCTTCCTTCCTTCCTCCATTCCTTCCCTCCCTTTTTCTTCCTTACCTTCATTCCTTCCTCTATCCCCTCCCTTCATTTTTTTCCTTCCCTCCCTCCTCGTCCTTCAATCAGTCCTTCCATCCTTCCCCCCTCCTTCCCCATCCCTCAATCCTTCCTTTCATCCTCCCTTCCCTCCCTCCCTTCATTCCTTCCTCCATCCTCTCCCTTCATTCTTTCCTCCCTCCCTCCCCTCCCCTCCTTTCTTCCCTCCCTTTCCTTTATTCCTTCCTCATCCATCCTTCCTTCCTGCCTTCCTCCATCCATTCCCTCCCTCCCTCCCTCCCCTCCCTTCCCTTTTCTTCCTTCCTCCATCCCCTCCCTTTATCCTTACCTTCATCCTTCCTCTATCCCCTCCCTTCATTTTTTCCTTCCCTTCCCTCCCTCCTCGTCCATCAATCATTCCTTCCATCCTTTCCCCCCTCTTTCCCATCCCTCAATCCTTCCTTTCATTCTCCCTTCCTCCTTTTGTTTCCTTCCTTCCTCCCTCCCCTCCTTTCATTTCCTTCCTTCCTCCCTCCCCTCCTTACTTCCCTCCCTTTCCTTTATTCCTTCCTCCATCCATTTCCTTCCTGCCTTTCCTCCATCCATTCACTCCCTCCCTCCCTTTTCTTCCTTCCTCCATCCCCTCCCTTTATCCTTACCTCCCTCCCTTCCTTCCCTTCCCTCCTTCCTTTCTCTATCCATTCCCTTTTCCTCCTCCTTCCCTCCCCTTCCTTCATTCATTCTTTCCTCCATCCATTTCCTTCCTTCCTCCATCCATTCCCTGCCTCCCTTCTTCTTCCTTCCTCCATCCCCTCCCCTTCATCCTTTCTTCCCTCCCCTCCTTTCCTTCCTTCCTCCCTCCCTCCCTCCCTCCCTCCCCTCCCCTCTTTCCTCTCTCTTTCCCCTCTTCTTCATTCCTCTCTCCCTCCCTACCATTCCTTTCCTTCCTCCCATCTATTCCCAACCTTTTCTTCCTTCCGTCCCTCCCCTTCTTTCCTCTCTCCCTCCCTACCCTTCCCTTATTTCTTTCCTCCCTCCATCTATTCCCTCCCCTTTATTCCTTCCTTCCATCTTTCCTCCCTTCCTTCCTTCCCTCCCATTCCTTCCTTCCCTCCTTCACCTTCATTACTTCGTCCATCCATTTTCTTTCCTTCCTTCATTCCTTCTCCCTCCATTCCCTCCCCTCCCTCCCTCCCTCCCTTTTCTTCCTTCCCCTCCTTCCTCCACCCCCTTCCTTCATTCTTTCCTCCCTCCCCTCCTTCCTTCCCTCCCCTTCCTACCTTCCTCTATCCATTCTCTCCCTCCTTCCTTTCCTTCCTTCCTTCCTTCCTTCTTTCCTTCCTTCCCTTCTCCTTCCTTCCTTCCTTCCTTCCTTCCTTCCTTCCTCCCTCCCTCCCTCCCCCTCCCTTTCTTCCCCCCTCCCTCCCTTCCTTCCCCCCTCTTCCTTCCCTCCCCTCCCCTTTCTGCCTCCATCCATTCCCTCCCTCACTCCCCCCCCCTTCCTAACTTCCTCCCTTCCCTCCTTTTCCTTCATTCCTTCCTCCATCCATTTTCTTTCTTTTCTTCCTTCCTCCATCCATTCCCTCCCTCCCTTTTCTTCTTTCCCTTCCTTCCTCCATCCCCTCCCTTTATTCTTTCCTCCCATCCCTCCTTCCTTCCCTGCTCTTTAATCATCACCATTTCCTCTCTCCTTTTTTATTCCTTCCTTCCTCTCCTCTCTCCCCTTCCCTCCCTCCCCTTCCTTCATTCCTTCCCCTCCATCCATTTTCTCTTTCTTCCTCTCTTTCATTCCTTCCTTCCTCCATCCATTCCCTCCCTTCATTCTTTCCTCCCATCCCTCCTTCCTTCCCTCCCCTTCCTGTTTATTCATCTGTTTATTCATCCCAATCTAATGACAGCCCAACATACACTAGTGCTCCCTGTTCACTCCCTACTGACACTGTCCACTGCCCCCACAAAATCATCGTGAAAAAAAATAATACAGAAATAAATTGTAAAAAATAATAGAAAAATTAGATAATAAAAATTAAATAATGATGACACCCATGCCATTGCTTTAATGACACCATCCACTGGCCACCCAAAATCACTTGAAAAAAAAACAATAAAAATAATAAAACATTAATTAGTAAAAAAAAAATCATAAAATTGTAAAAAAAAAAAAATAATACTAATAAAAATACTGACACCATCCTACACATATACTCCGCACTCCTTTCCCTGTACATACTACTCACTGTCATACACTCCACACTGTACATTCCCTATTTAACATTACCTCATTCTGCACTATCTAAGTCATCTCAGACACTACTTAACCACACCTCTTTTAAGCCATGCCCAATTTTTAGCGCAATTTAAAACGCACCCCTCCTCTCTCACCCCTTCCTCTCTCTCTCACACCCCTCCTCTTTTTCGCCCTCTCACTCTCCCCTCTCTCTCTCGCTTCCCCCACATGGCAGCCATCTTTAAACCTGGAAGTGCCCAGTGGCTTCTACTGAAAGAAGCCGGGAACATTTATGCAGGCTTTGCTGCAGTAAATATTTAAATGCCCCTTCTATGCAGCTGAGCTGCAATATGTAGGTAGGGTGTTGTGTGTGTGTGTGGCGATTGTAGGTGGGGGCACAGGGGGCCCCATTATCTCTTACTGCCCAGGGGCCCCATGAGTTGTCAGTCCGCCCCTGCCGCTAACGCTGTGTTTTTGGGGACGCTATACTAATGTGAACGCTGGTATAGTGCTGATCTGATCAAAGATATTAATCCGTTCAGACACTATACTAGCAATCAGGGGCGGACTGACCATTTGGAAACTCGGGCACTGCCCGAGGGCCCGGGGTCATTAGGGGGCCCATGAGATGCCCCTGGTACCTTTTTCATAGGCTTTTTTGAGTTTAGGCAAGGACACAGGGGCCCCATGATCCCCTATTGCCCGGGGGCCCCATGAGTTGTCAGTCTGCCCCTGGTCCAAAGCATATGAAGAACCGTCCATAGAGGGAGGAGCCTACGTGCTGACGTCACGCCGCTGAGTCCATACGATGCTATGGATGATCCAGCCGCCACTCTGCTGAATCCAAAGCCGGCTGGATGGTGAAGGAGGACCAGAACAAGGTACAAACTATAGAAGGATATATATACAGAAAGTGCAGTGCTTATGTCCAAAGCATATGAAGAACCCTCCCTAGAGGGAGGAGCCTACATGCTGACGTCACGCCGCTGATCCCCTATTGCCCGGGGGCCCCATGAGTTGTCAGTCCGCCCCTGCTAACAAGGGAGGTTTATTGTGTATGAGCGTCTTCCTGGCAATCAAGGGGTTAAATGTGACACTTTTTGTAAAACTTTAAAGATTCTCACCGGATTGGACGCCTATCATTTTACGTTTGGGGGCTGCTTAGTAGTAACATACTTGAGTAAGGTCAATATCTAATCATGTGCGATCGACAGATTTTTAATTTCTTTGGTCTGTAAATATAGGACAGAACTACGGACAGGGCCAACCACGTACGTATATCAGTGATTTCTTCAATGTATCTGTTGCCATTCATAGATCTTACCATTTTTGTGAGTAATATATTTGTAAGTCAGCAGATCATTCCACATGTTACTTATCTCACGTGTTCAACAACTTCTCCTGCTTCTCACATATACAGCCAATGGCGTACCAGAAAAACCAGCTTGCCTTCAATTGCGCCTCTGCATGATAACGCCATGAATAAGTGTGGGAGGAACAAGTCTATGCAGATTGTATTTTCTTTATTCGAAACAAAGGACAGACAACTTATAGGAGTATAAAAATGTATACCAGAGAACAAGCAGCATACTTTACACATCATTATGTATTTAAAGGTAACTTTGCAGCAAAGAAGAGATGAACAACATTCCAGAGACATCAGAGAATGCTAATTATTTGGCCTAAAGAAAGTTTTAGAGTTTAAGAAGAGAAAAAATGTCCTTCAACAAGATTTGAGTGAACTCGACCTATCAGAATGCTGTGAAACCAGGACAAGCTGGGGAAAACCAGGGCGAGGGCACATGGGCTCTTATGAAAAGCTTAGCTGAAATATGCAGGGGCGGAATAAATCCATCATTAAAGCAGTATTAATCCCACAGCGTTTGTTAGTTTTACACACTGAGCACAATAAAATAAACATACCTCAGTAGACTGTAATCCAATTCTTACACCAGCACTTGTATCTTACAGCTTTCAATGTTGCTGGCTCTTGCTCTTTCAGTGCTGCTTCCCTAAACTTCAGCAGCGGGCAATGCAGTCTATTAACTTAGAGAAAGGAGGAGGGAGGAGCAGTACCATGCCATCCTAGGCTAAGGGGCTGTGTGTTTCCATTGATGCACGCAGTGCAGGGAGAGATAGGGGCTTATTTACTAAAACTGGAGAGTGCAAACTCTGATGCAGCTCTGCATAGAAACCAATCAGCTTCCATTATTTTTTTTGTCAAAGCTTAAAGTGTTACTAAACCCAGTACCCTGCATTCACTATGTCTGGTCTGCCCGGACCCTGCATTTACTATATCCGCTCTCCCTGGACTCTGCATTCTCTATATCTGGTCTTCCAGGACCCTGCATTCACTATATCTGGTCTCCCCGGACCCTGCATTCACTATATCTGGTCTCCCCGGACCCTGCATTCACTATATCCGGTCTCCCTGGACCCTGCATTCACTATATCTGGTCTCCCCGGACCCTGCATCCACTATATCTGGTCTCCCCGGACCCTGCATCCACTATATCTGGTCTCCCCAGACCCTGCATTCACTATATCTGGTCTCTCCAGACCCTGCATTCACTATATCTGGTCTCCCCAGACCCTGCATTCACTATATCCGGTCTCCCCGGACCCTGCATTCACTATATCTGCTCTCCCGGACCCCCCATTCATTATATCTGGTCTCCCCAGACCCTGCAGTCACTATATCTGGTCTCCCTGACCCTGCATTCACTATATCCGGTCTCCCCCGTACCCTGATTCACTATATCTTAACCCCCCCGGACCCTGCATTCACTATATCCGGTCTCCCAGGACCCTGCATTCACTATATCTGGTCTCCCCGGACACTGCTTTCACTATATCCACTCTCCACAGACCCTGCATTCACTATATCTGGTCTCCCACAGTAAACAGAACATGGAAGTGAATTATGTTAGTAAATATAAACTGCTAAATACCTTTTCTCATCAGCAGTATATAGCAGTTTTGTGCCTTCTATCAGTGTCTGGCCAAGCAATGGTTAATCTTGTAGGAGTTTTAATTCTCCCGATTGTCCTATGAGGCTGCAGGACCCCTGACCCTTTATCTGGACAGTGCTGATTGACCCTGTGCTGATCACATGCATCCTCCCCCCCCCCCCAAAAAAAAAATCTCTAGCAATACACACCAAAATGAGCATGTGCAGAGTGCCTCCTAGAGCTCTGTACTATCAGTGGATGGATTGGGGACAGTAGAAGAAGGGGAAGATTAGAGAAGACAGGATCAAACAGCCTTTTTACACTTTGCAGAGGATTAACCCCTTAGTTTCCACAGTGAGTATAACAAGCATGCTTTACTGCATATACAGACTGATTTTACTGTTGTGAATTTAGTAATGCTTTAATTGAACAAGCTAAAGCTGACTGGATACCAATTAAACTGGAACAAAGAAATAAAAGATAAAGAAGCTGCATACTCCAAGTGATTAGCTCCATGCACATGGGGCGTTTTAATAATGCTGGTAACTACAGCTGTGTAATGTCACATTAAAAATGCAAGTTTTTCAGCGTTTTTGTATTAGCATTTAGTAATGTGTTTTGCTGTGTTTTTAGAGGTTTTTTGACCAAAATGAGTAAAAAAAAGTCCAAAAACACTGGTTTGCCGCAATTTACCACGTTTTTACCACGTTAGAGCGTTTTTACAGCTAAAAAAAAAACTCATCTAGAAACCCACTAGTTCTGCCAACGTCTATGTCTATGCCAAAAAATGCCCCTGCCAACGTCTATGTGTGCATGAACACATAGGATAACATGCTGGGGAGTTTACTGGCTGTAGAAAAAAAAACGTCAAAAGCCAAAAACAGCCGCTGTAAAAACGTCCCGTGTGCATGAGGACTAATCAGCGTAAAACCTGCTTGATGTGTTGAAGTATTTAATATCACTTTAATGCCTTCTAGTAGTGTTCAATGTACTTTACTCTACTAAATATAATACAGTCAATGGTAACCTACTGTGTACATTATATATAATCTCCACCTTTTATCATCAGAAATCTGTCCAGTGACTTTGCTTAGGCTAACATAAAGCCATCACTCTTCTGCAGGCAGGAAGAAGCATTTCTCCAGTCACCTCTCCAGTGATTGCAATTCAATATTGTAACTTTCTAGCATATCACAAGGTGAGAGGTTGTAGCAGGGTCTGATCTTTGATAGACATTTGTGACCAGGGGCGGACTGACAACTCAAGGGGCCCCCGGGCAATAGGGGATCATAGGGCGCCTGTGTCCTTGCCCAAACTCAAAAAAGCCTATGAAAAAGGTACCAGGGGCATCTCATGGGGCCCCCTACTGACCCCGGGCCCTCGGGCAGTGCCCGAGTTTCCAAATGGTCAGTCCGCCCCTGTTTGTGACTACAACCAAGACCTGCACAGCCACCAGGGTTTACAATATTAGTTTAGGAAATAGATATTGATCCTGGATGATGCCTGAATGAAGATGGTGCTTTCCTTCTGTATCGGTCCATCTCCCGGGCAGAGTTTCTCAAACTGAGGTTAGGGTCCTCTGGAAGAGATGTGGTTTGGGTAGTCTGCGCAGAAAATGCGATAATTGGAGGGCCCTCCAGTGGTTCAGGAGCTGGGGTCCTGAGATGACGAAGAGATTGGTATTTAGCATCCATCCTGTTGTTCGGAGAAAGAAAGATGCACGCAATAGCCCCCGAGGGGCATGTTCGACAAAGCCAGGATCCGATAGACCTGGGTGAAACGCAGGGTGGCCTATAATCGGTGTCATCAGAGAGGGGAAACACTGTAAATACGCCTTTTGTATAACCTTCTGGTTTCAGCCAGAGTGGGACCGATCAAGGGGTGAGAAGAAAGGTAGGTAGTATGTGGGATGACTGCCCAAGGCAGGCCCATCAAAGGTGCCCTTGCAAAGTCTTGTTCCAAAGAAACCCGTAATTTGTGGGAGCTATGTCTGCACCAGTCCTCGACTCTGGTCATGTGGACTGCAGTATAGAATAAGGCCGGATCTTCAAATCCTAGAATCCCTTTCAATTTTGGTTGGAGCAAGAGTGCCCTACTGAGACATGGCGTTCTCCCGTTGGATGTGATTTGTAGCCCATCTGAACGGGAAATTTGGACATATCCTGGAGAGGAGGCTGTGCAGTCCAGGCCACCAGCGTCCTATCAAAAAGTTTGGCTGTGTGGCCGAGGCTGAGGCCCCTAGCAACCAAAGACACTGTGCAGCTTGGGCTGCCAGCATCCTAGCAACCATTGGCACTGTGTGGCCAAGGTCACCAGTGTACTACCAACCAAAGACTCCCTGTGGCCCAGGCTGCCAGTGTGCAAGCAACCAAACATGCTGTGTTTCCCAGGCCGCCAGTACACTAGCAACCAATGATGCTATGCAGCCCAGGTCAGCAGCGTAAATACAGCAAAGGAAGCTGTGCAGTCCAGGCCACCAGTATCCTAGCAACCAGTTTGGCTGTGAGGCCGAAGCCGCCAGTGCCCTAGCAACCAAAGACACTGTGCGGTTTGGGCTGCCATCATCCTAGCAACCATTGGCACTGTGTGGCCCAGGCCACCAGTGTACTAGCAACCAAAGACTCCCTGTGGCCCAGGCTGGCAGTACACTAACAACCAATGATGCTATGCGGCTTAGGTCAGCAGTGTAAATACAGCAAAGGAAGCTGTGCAGTCCAGGCCACCATTATCCTAGCAACCAGTTTGGCTGTGTGGCAGAGGCCGCCAGTGCCCTAGCAACCAAAGACACTGTTCCCTGGCAACCAACCACAGGGGGAGGTAGCAAAAATTAACTATTACCGATCCAATCCTGTCTGCTACTACAGCTCTTCTGTGTACATATCACTTAAATCCACGGCAGATTTATCTTCTTATATACATTTACAGTAATGTATTACCTCAACCACACCATTGTGTTCAGATAAATCATATTTTTCTTTTTCAGCAAGCAGCCTTGGGTAAAACAAAGAGAGATACATCCCCAGCTATGAGCATGATTCCTGAACTGCTGGCAGACAAGACAAGATACGTTTCTTACCACCTGGAAGTAGAAATCGCATCTCAGATCCCACGACCTATATTATAATCAAGCATCAGTCTACGATTGCATACCACGCAAGATTCATTTCAGAGTATGACCTCATTGTCTCACTATTCTGTAACTGGAGCTGAGTTTTTCTTGTCTTATACCGTTTCAGGATTTCTAGTGGACACAATCCTTCTAAACTATTACAGAACAAGTCTGTCATGGCCGGTATTCTCAGGCTAGGCGGCTTTTAGAAACTGTTTTTGTAATAAAGAAAACACACAAAGAGAAAATCTCATCACAGACAAAGGAATAAAACAGATTTTGGCACCACCAGTGCGTGGGGTAATGTCTGCTGAAACATGACATGATTACCTTTCTGCAAGTATACTTTATGTATGTATTTATTTTAACAACAGCCACCGACTGGCTAAGGCCTCATTTGCACTTGCAGTTTGGGGGTGGTAAAAACAGATGGTGAGTCATGTTTTTACCGCCCTCCAACTGGACCCCTTAAGCTGCAAAGGCAGCAGGTGAGGGTGTACATATGCTGCAGCCATGATGCTTTGCAACGCAGCATGGCAAAAATGACTGCCCCCCCTCCCCCATAGTGCTTGGTGGCCAGTGCTGCCCGAGGAACGTGACCCATTCAACTGAATGGGGTCGTGCCACAACTACATGCAATATCGCATTGTAAGGTGCATCGCATTAAGGCAGCCCAATTAAATCAATAGGCTGCCAATGCTCTAAAACATCCCTCAAATCAGATGAGACACAACATTTTTAAAGCAGTACAGTGGCTAAATGATTAGCACTTCCACCTGGCAGTAATTGGGTCGGTGGTTTGAATCCCAGCCACAGCACCACCTCCCTGGAGTTTGCATGTTGTGCCTGTGTGGGTTTCCTCCAGGTACTCCGGTTTCCTCCCACACTCCAAAGACATGCTAGTAGGTGAATTGGATCCTGTCTAAATTGTCCCTAATATGTGTATGTATGAATGTAAGTAACTCAATATTGAACCCTACGGACTAAGACTGGGATGCCATTAAAATTCATGTGTGTGTAAAGGCAGGCGTCCCAATACTTTTGGCAATATGGTGTATGTGAGTGGGCCCTTAGAGTTTACATACAATTTTAACTTATTCCCTTGAATAACTGGGAGAATATTCCTATTTCAGTGAATATTTAATACATTGAAAAAAAAAAAACAGAAAACCTATTTGCTCATTTGTGTTGGAATATCCCTCACAAGCTTCATAAACCACAAATCTTTGGGATGGTTTCCAGCTGCTCCTATGTGCCAGACTGAATCAGCACTGTGCTGTTCAAGTAGTTCCGTATGTACCCTATGCATTTATTCCATGCTCCATCATAGTGCAGTATTAATGACTCATAAATTAATTAATTGGTTTAATGACTCTCTTGATTAAATTGCTTCTGAAATTTAAAGGTTGCTCCTTGTTTTCTGATCTTATCACAGTTCTCTTTGGCTACCTTATAATAATGAGTCAGTGCGGTTGATTCGCTAAAGGCAAGTAGGTTGATCACTTTACACAGAATTTTCCCTGATTGGGTATTCTGGGCAATGTGAATTTTCATCACATTCACTAAGCTAAGGAAAAATTCCCTTGCAAATGAAAATTCCCTTGCAAAGTGAACAGCCTATTTACGTTCAGCAAATCAGT